TCATTAATATTACCCACTTATCCACAATAGGATCGCGTGTTGGTAGTTATAGCTTGTTTTTTCTTTACAGTTAACTCATACACACCACAAAAAGGGACATTGACAGATTGACAATGAAAATAATATCACTGGTAGTACTCGTATTGAAAAAAACGAGATTAATCTTATCACTTCCAGCAGCTTCAAAATATAGCCTGCGGAATAAAGTTCTGAAAAATCAATGCTGATGAAGATGAAAGCAGAAGTTACATAAATAAGGCGTATTAAAGAAAAAACAAAAGATGCAAATATCAAAAATTGAATTGAAGGCTGATAGTAAAGCAACTTATATTTGAAATAAGTAATGTGAGAAGCGTAAGAAAATATATGTGTGTGACAAAAACAAAGAATCTGAAGCCTAAATAATAATTATATAATATAAATATGTATATGTCGGGGTTAAAAATAGATTACTTTAAGAATTTTCATTCTCGTCCGCCATCTTGATTTAAACGTGACGAGTCAGTGTGCACGTCCGACACCGTCGAGTTTCCAAAGCAGAATTAATGCACTTCCGTCACCAACCGTCACTCGGGCAAAACCATCGACATCAAGGTATTCGGTCCATTCTGCCACATAAAGGCATAACACACAAAAATACACTAGCTGTTCGTAACATTTACAGATCACAAAAAATATTGACGAAACGTGCTATCTCAGACTACTTACTCGAAGTACTGACTCGGGGACAATTCATTTTTATGTGTGAAAATACCCACAAGTGTCGTTACAAAATAAAATAATACCGACATATATTTATTATTACAAAGTTATGAAACCGATGCATTTTCATTGTTATTAATTGTTACATTACCTTGATACCTTAAGTTCTACGGACGTGATGCCTAAATGTCCTAACTTACCAATCTAACTCACGCACTTTCACTTATGTTATTTTGTGATGTTGAAATCTTTATTTAACTCAAACAGAAAGTGAGCACTCCTGCGCCGATCTGCATATGAAAACATTCACACGGTTATATATGTATTTATTTGTAAATATTTGTCAAATAAAAGCTTCATCACAAATATACATTATCCCTAGGAACAAGAGAAAAAATGGCCTCATTCAATTCATCCTTATTTTTATTAACACTATCACCGAATTATACGATGTTACATTATTCATATGCGTAATAATGTCACCAAACGTTTCAAATAGGCCAAGCATTCGTACGACAGAACTACTCGCTGCGTTTCCTTAATGCGTACTTATAACAGGGGTCTACGTCACAAATACTAATAAAGACTTAATGTTTAATTTTAGATACTGCTGATTTGCGCACAGAAACTAAACAAATTTCCCTGCTCTATGTGTAATAATATGGGTGTGGTTATCTACACTGTACAAGGAGCGGTCCTGCCTTCAGTATTACATTTACATAATGTACTTAGTGAGAAGAACCGCATACAAAGGCTCTCCCTAGAAAGTGATGAGACGGTAACGTGTCAAAGAAAAGTGAATTCTTTTATAGGAGCGGTTAAACAGATCTTCGTTTGTGGACTTGTATTTTGCTTGTATTAAATTATTACGCGGTATTTTTCTCATGAGACTGAAGAAAAGTTTCCCATTTGTTTTTAAACTTACAATATTTATCGTGTTCACACATTAGACTTATGAATCTACTTTAAAGTTTTAAAAAAATACAGAATACCTATTCTGAGTCCTAGAATCTCGAGCTTACATCTACTAAAGAAGAGATCTATATTAGGAGTTAAAGTATGAAATTGCCGTTTTATTGTAATAGGTTCCTTGAATTGACATAGAATCTTCATGGTTTGAGGTTTTCGAAAGAAACTTTTTCAAATGGTTTCTATGATGTTCTTCTTTAAAAAAATGTTAAACATTTGAATTCAATTGTTTATTTTTTATTCAACTTAGACAAGAAAGATGGATGGAGTGCCTCATGATAAGACTGATCTGCAGAAAGAAGTGCGTGTTGAAACTTGTGTTGCCTTGTAGAAATGAAGAAATATTGGATCGAATTGTGACATGTGATGAAAAGTGGATTCTTTATGATAACCGTAAAAGAAAAATGCAATGGCTGGCCCCAGGTCAAACGCCACAACAGTGTCCCATAGCAAAACTTACCAATAAAATGATAATGGTTACTGTTTGGTGGTCTTAGTATGATGTTATTCACTATCAAATCAAATCAAATCAAAATTTATTTATTCAATTTAGGCTTTTACAGAGCACTTGTGAAAGTCGAAAACTACGCCATCGGTTCGCAAAACTACGGCGGGAGACCTTGTACTGAGAAGAACCGGCAAGAAACTCAGCAAGGGCTATTTTTTTCTCCCTGTTTTATTTCACACAGAGAAGTCTTATTGAAAAGTGACTTCATTAGAATATGAAGTCACTTTCCATTACAATATTAGAAAGTAAATACAACAAAGTTAAAATATCTAACACCATGCCTTTTTGTCATTTAGATATTCCTTAACGGTATAATACCCTTTACTTTGTAGACAACTTTTTATATGACTTTTAAAATGATTTATTGGCAAATCTAATACATCACTGGGGATCTTGTTAAAGTATTGTATACCTTGACCCATGAAAGAACCTAATACCTTCTGTAACCTGTAAGAAGGCACTACTAGCTTGTTTTTATTTCTAGTATTAAGTTTGTGTACATCACTATGTTTGGTATACACATTAATATTGTTCCGGACAAAAAGTATACAACTATATATAAATTGAGATGCAACCGTCAATATTCCAATTTCTTTAAATTTCTCTCTAAGAGATATTCGCGAACCCAACTGATAGATAGATCTTATTGCCCTTTTCTGTAAAACAAATATAGACTGAATATCGGCTGCCGTTCCCCACAATATAATGCCATAGGACATGATACTGTGAAAATAACTAAAGTACACTGTCCGGGCAGTTTCTATATCGGTAATTTGTCTTATTTTTCGTATGGCATATGCAGCCGAGCTGAGTTTACCAGCTAATATAGAAATGTGCGGGTTCCATTGCAGTTTTGAATCTAGTGTTATGCCCAAAAATTTTGTTGAACTTACTAACTCTAAATGTTCGTTGTTGAGTTTAATTTCAGTTGGTTCTACATTTACATTAGGTAAAGTGAATTTTATACATTTAGTTTTTTTAGCATTCAATTGAAGATTATTAACTGTGAACCAAGATAAGACTCGTGAGAGAGTATTGTTTACATCGTCAAAATTATATTTGTTTCCGTCAATGTTAAATATTAATGAAGTGTCATCTGCAAACAACACGATCTCACACAGGTTTTTAACAAAAAATGGCAAATCATTTATATATATTAAAAACAGAAATGGGCCTAAGATAGAACCTTGGGGAACGCCTATTTTTACATGAGACCCCGACGACTTCGCACCGTTTATATCTACCGTTTGTGTTCTGGAACTAAGATACGACAGCATTAGTTTTTGAGCAGCACCTTTAATACCGTAGTAATTCAGTTTAAACGACAGTGTCTGATGCTCAACACAATCGAAGGCTTTGGACAGATCGCAAAAAACACCAAGAGCGTTTTGCGATCCCTCCCATGCTTTAAATATATGCTTCAGTAGCGCAACACCCGCATCTGTTGTCGAACGACCCTTAGTAAAACCGTATTGCTTAGTATGCAAAAGTTTGTTGGAATTAAAGTAGGATATTAATTGTTCCAGAATAAGTTTTTCAAAAATCTTGCTTAGTGTCGGTAGAATTGAAATGGGTCTATAATTACTAGGATCCTGTTTATTACCAGCTTTAAAAAGAAGAATGACTTTACCAAATTTCATGAGATCTGGGAAAATACCCTCATCAATACAGTGATTGAAAATATCAGCGAGATAGGGAGCAATGATATTAATTATATTCCTAATTATATTCACTGATATACCCCATAAGTCACGAGTGTTTTTTATTTTTATTGATCTGAAGCCTTTAATAACATCTAATGAATCAATATATTTGAACTTAAATAAGGTATCACATTTTGGTACACATTTCCTAAGCAAAGCCATTCCTGCCTCTGGCGAAGAATTCAAATTAGAAGTTGTCTCGATCGGTTTATTTATGAAAAAATCATCAAAAATATTGGCGATCAGTTCAGGAGTTTTAATAAGCTCGTTTTTGAAAGTAAGTGCCAATACGTCGTCATGTGGTCTGTTTTTACCAGTTTCACGATTGATAATATTCCAAGTAGTTTTTATTTTATCACTGGAATTTTTAATTTTGTCTCTAATAAAATTTGACTTCGCCAATGCACATACTTTTTTGAATAATTTGGAGTAAGCTTTTACATAATCTACGAATTTTTCAGAATGGTTATACTTTCTAAGATTGTACAACTCATATAACCTGTTTCTGCTTTTATAAATACCAGTCGTAGCTCAGTCACAAAACTGTAGTTTCTGCGTAGTAATTTTCTTCGTTTTAGAAGGGAAAGCTCGATCGAATTCATTCTTTATGAGATGAAAAAGGTTATTATAAAGTACTAGCTTTCGCCAGCGGCTTCGCCCGCGTGGTTCCTAAGGAAATGTTTAGTGAGATAAAAAATAATTTAAACAATTCTGTAGGTATATCCAGAGTAAAGTAAATCTGACCTAACTAACTTCTATTTTTTTTCATTAACAATTTCATGTTTGCCAGTCAATCACGCTGCAACCACTGAACAGATTTTTATAATAATAAATCATACAACATCGATTATGACTATCTTATAATATTGATCTATATACGATGTTGTACGATCTATTATTTGCAGCAAGTATATACAGATTCCTTGCACTTGACACTCGAGAAGATGCCACATAGAGTTGGCCATGGGTAAAGCAGGGAATGCCCAAATGCATGCCGGCCACTTTTAGGGTTTGTCCCTGGGACTTATTGATGGTCATAGCAAATGCCAATTTCAATGGGAACTGCAGCCTTTTGAACTGGAATGGAAAATTGTGGGGTATAATGGGTATACGGGGAATCAACACGCTCTCGCCTTTAGCTGCTCTCGTAAGTATTGTTGCTCGTACAATGTTTCTTCCCAGTTCCTGATTTGTAATCTTGTGCCGTTGCACAATCGCGGAGCGTCAAGATTACGCATCAACAAAACTGGGACGCCAACCTTCAGCTCCAGCTTGTGGGGCGGTACGCCCGTCAATTCTAATGAGTTGACAAACTCCACGGGATACGCAGTGCTGTCATCGCTTGCCATCACCGTGTCTATGGACGTGTACACCCTCGATGCGCCATCTACTACATCTTATACCTTGTTGTTTATTTTATTCACTAATTCATTTTTTGGCGACAGTACTGCTCTCTCAAACAACCACTCCTCATTATTTATTTTGTTTTTTATATCGGGAAATACATTGGCGAGTAGTTCTTCCTCGGTAGCTACTGGATGACAAAATTCATTGGTGAAAATAATTTTTGCCGTCCGGATCGGTTTTCAGCCTACCATCTCCGATCTCGAGCAGCTTACTCGCAAATGCACCTGACTCTGTATCATTGTAAAGTTGTGCACGCATATTCCGAGTAAGGTGGAGTTTTTCTACGTGGGACCAAAGTTACGAAGCCTTAAGACACGCGTTCATTTCATTTGCCGGTGTACCCTTTTCGATAACTGGAAGAGTTTGCCGAAAATCACCAGTGAGTACAACAACAGCACCTCCCATCAGCGTCTCATTGCTGCGGATGTCCAGCAGGCTCCGGTTCAAAGCCTCAACCGCGCGCTTGTGTGACATCGTGCACTCGTCCTACACGATTAATTTACATTGTTGCAAAAGGGAACCGCGGTCGCTGCTTTTGCTAATGTTGCACGGTGGGTTTTCTTGACTTGCAAGATTCAGAGGTAGACCGAAGAAATAAACAAAGAGTTAACTGAGAAGTAGATTTAGAAAGCTAAATACAGATCTTAATATAAATATGTAATTTAAGAGAATAGCTAAGTAGATAGAAAATATAGAAGTTATTTGAGAAAAAATCACACAAAATATCAAGTCAAGTCCGTTAGAATAGCCAAATCGACAAATAGAATCAATTGACAACGCAGAACCAAAACGACACAGAAATCACTTACAACTATCCGCACCGCAGAGTCACAGTCATCTATATCCAAGTAGTTGCGGTAATACAACATCGTAATGTAGAATACTACAGTAATGCCACAGGGTAATGCCATCTGTTGGGCTTAATGTTACTGATTACATTAAAAATGATGTTTTATCTTAATACATACATGTACATAAAATAGTGTTTAGAAAATCGGCAATATACGTTGTTTTATTTTCTCAAAAACATCGTATTAAAATCTAAACTACTCATCCAATCTATATGGTGTAAAAGACAATTTTCATGTATATTAAATTTCTTCGACGATAAACATATTTATTTCGATAAGGATTTAATATCACCTACTTAAATAAACGTTTAAAGACGGACGAAAAATTTAAATAGACTTATATGAAGTTCTTTTTATTTTTGTGGCAAAACCCTTGCATATAGATATATGACATCGCGGACTTTTTTATAGATAATTTAAGGCTCTCCCACTTTTCTTTAGAAAGCATTCGTATATCTCATACCGTTTAGGCAGCGTTCACAAAAATAGGCGCCGTTGGAGGTACTTTTATCCCTAGGGAACCTTTTGGTGGGATAAAAAGTATCCTATTATCTAAGTCAGGTAATACCCTATCTGTATACCCAATTTCATCAAAATCCGTTCATTAGTTTCGGCGTGATTGACGTACAAACATCCAAACATCCAAACATCCAAACATCTAAACATCCAAACAAAGAAACTTTCACATTTATAATATTAATAGGATATCGGGGTCGTCATGTGACCATGACATCTGCACGATTTTTTCATCTATATTTAGTTGAAAATTATTTATACGTTTATTATTAAATGGTCTAACTTCTATTATTTTAGGTTCATTAGGAACCGTTATCTCGTAAGTAACTTTCAAGCCATAATGATCAGATGAAATATTATTAAAAACTAATTTGTTTGTTGGGTTGCGTTCTGAAAAAATATTATCCAAACAAGTAGCTGAATTCGCAGTCACTCTTGTCGGTTCATGAAATTGATTTGTTAAATTAAAACATTTGAACAAAGAGAGAAAACGATCGGATGTTATACTGGGTTTGAGAAGATCTATGTTAAAATCACCACATACAACTAAAAATTTGTTTTTTGAGTCTAACTTTTTAAGCACATCCTCCATCACTAACTCAAAAACACTATAATTACCTTTGGGGGGTCGGTATACACATACTATGATTAAATTACTTAATTCTACACAAGAAAGTTCAATATCTCGTTCTACCGTTAATTCTACGATATCTTTTCGTTCCTTAGATTTTACAATATCACTAACCAATATTAATGATCCACCGCATTTTGCTCCCCGACGTACATATGAACTTTGCATATGAAAATTATTTAAATAAAACGACATTTCACTGAGTTGCAGCCAATGTTCTGATAAACAAACTATTTGTATATCATTTGATTGAATAAATAACTCTAATTCTAAGTCTTTGCCGGCCAAACACTGTATATTTTGATGCATTATATTAATGTATTTAGCCTTTGTCTTACTTTTCAGTTTAAATCTGAATTTGTCAAATTAATATTTACATTAGTAGAATTACTAATACAAAAATTATTCTGTGTTATATCATATATAACAGAATCTTGTAAATTAAAAGCTAACAAAGTAGCTATTTCGGTCTTACATGATTTAGTCAGATACATATTATCTTTTGTCAGATTTATTTTTTTAATATACTTATTAATATCAAAAAATAAAATAACGTCACTATGACGAGATATCATATTATATAATGTCAAATTTAATTTATGTATGCGCATGTTTTGTTCCTTATTGTAGTTTTTGACATATGGAAAGCTGCTTATTATCATTTTACAATTTGATTCAGATTGTAATTTTAGTAAGTTATCAATACTTTTTACATGACCCTGTATTGATGATGATGAGCTATCACCACACAAAATAATTAAAGTGGTAGCACTATCTAGTTCATTTTTGCTCAGATTTTTTACTATATTGTTAAATGATCGACCTGGAGAACAAATATTTATGAAGTTTTGTGCTAATTTGTTTTTGACAGCCGAACCAAGACCTTGGCCCAGCTTGTCAGAAAACATTATTGTTTTGCTACTTCTTGAGTCATAAGACAATGCTGGTTTGAAAGGCCATGCATTATATGTTGTACCTATAGGATAAGAGACAGATGAGACAGATGACTGACCGAGATCATGAGAAATTTCATTAATTTTTGGTACTACATTTATAATGGAATGATCAGACAAAGAAGAATGATTTATAGTACTTATTTGTTGATTTTTTAATAAAGACTCATATCGCTCTGCATTATAGTTGCATAAATCAACTAACTCTGACGCAGACTTAATGTGCTCATTAATTTGTTTCTGTGCACTTGAATATTTACTTTCCATATTCTCTAGAGATTCATGCAACTTTTCAATCTGAGAATGTAACTGTCTAGTATCTCGGTCATACATCTCCCTACTCTCTGTCAATTTGGAACTATAAATTTCCAGGGAGTCGATGAGACTATTTTTTACCTTCCTAAGAGCAATGTTTTTATAGAAACAGTTGTTTTTCTTAATAAGTTTCTCAGTTTTTTTAATGATTGCTGATACGAACATATTTTTGAACATATTTTTTAATCTTCTTAGTACCTTGTGTATGGTGATGTAAAACAACACTATCAGGTCTTATTGCAAACTGGGTAGATGGTGCTCCAGGTGTTGCCATCAGCTCCTCAAACAGACTATGAGTGTTGTGCGATTCTTGTAATTGATTATGCACAAGTTGTGCTTCCTCATACTCTGTAATTTGAGAGTTTGCAATGCTCAGTTCCTGTTCTAGCTCAGTGATGCGCTGAAGGGCTCTCTCATACATCTTGCAATCCTTGTCAAAACTACTTAAGGTGTCACGTAGTTCAACTTGCTGAAGAAGCACTTCTTCATGCTGTGAATGTAGCTGTGCAAGTTCACTTTTCAATAATGTGTTCTTATTTATAATTTTCTTGATCTCTTCTTCACTCTCATCACGTTCTCGAAGAAGCTGACTACATGTGTCCTTACAACATTTCAGTTCTTCCAATGTTTGTCGCAGCTTTATTTCAGTGTTTTGTGCTGTAGCTTTACGGGTCATCATTTTAAATTGGGAGATTGTTAATTATTCACTGAAAGCAGTTAAAAGGTTTCACAATTAACTAACACTATTCTAATTAAGAATGTTATTAATTAGAAATTATGAATTAATTGATTTAAAGTATAATAGTATTCAGTAGAAGGGTAGACAAAAAATTATTATACTAATTATTTATGCAATTAAGTTTAACAAAATATAAGAACAAGTGTCACTTTAAAATCCAATCACCAATAAGTTATAATTATGAATTTAATATACATGTGTACCCCTCTCATATGATTACTTATAATTGCTTTTTCTTATACAATTTAATCTATATTTTTATTAAAAGATTATCCTTCACAGCAATGACTTGTCTTAATTACACTAGCATCAAAAGAAAATAATAATAATAATAATTTATTCTTGATCTTAGTTCATTTCTTAATCTGAATAATAAAAATTTCTTTTATTTTTATTTTTAATTCTTCCTACTGTGTATGCAAAATGATATACTGGAATAAGTATTTCTAATCACAAACAATAAAGGAGTTTCTCAGCTGTGATTAATTGAATGTTAATTATGCAAGTATATTATTTGTAAAGAGTAGGAGTAATGAATGTCTGTGGCAACTCGGTCACCATCAACTTTACTTCCACTTTATGTCAAGTAAAGAGAGGTTAACAGTACCAAACTGTTATGATTTGGGACGTTGCTCACTATTAGTGAGTTCTGATAAGTGTTATGATAAGTTTGAAAATGAAGGTATTGAGAAACCAGAATGTCACATGTAAAAACAATTTTTAGGAAGTATTAAGTTAAATATATTACAAAGAACGATTAATTGCTGAATCCACAATTGTAATTATAATTTGCAAATTACTTTAAATCTTGACAATATATGATGGTGCTAAGAAAAAAGAAATAAAATGGAATTCAATTGTAACAAGAACCAAAGGAATAACCGTAATAATTAATATGTGTATATGAAAAACAATACTCCCCAGGTTTCAGAATTAGAAGTCCAATTAATTTATTGGTATTTGTTTTGAACAGCTGATTCAAAAATCTTCCAGTCCGTTAACAGTTTGCCAAGGTTTATTTCGATGAATATTCAACACATATGTAATTTTACACTAAGATATCACTGCCATATATTAACTATGATGTATATTCACTATTACTATCAAAATTTACTTATTTAAAACTGAATAAATAATTAAATTATAATTTTAAATACGGACAAAAAAAACTGGGAGCGATACTTTTAATACAATATAGTACTATATACTATATACTATAGTTTTCTCTGATCTGGTCAAGCAATAACGGCAGATGTCAATTGTGCCAAACTCTGAACAATGTCGGCAAAACTAGCAGCCCCGACTGATGAATCGATCTTCACCATTATTGCTTCATGACAGCGCGAGACCTCATACAGCACGAGAAACGGTTTTGACCCTTCAGAGACTGTAGTTAGAAACTATTGCAGAACTTGCTGCAATGGACTAACATTTTTTGATTTTCAGTGACTTGGACAATTATCTACATGAGAAGAAATTTTCTTCCCAGGAGGCAGTACAAAATGCTTTCACACAGTTTGTGCCGTCTAGATCCTCAGAGTTTTATCGCAAAGGCATAAATGACCTTCCTATTAGATGGCAGAAATGTAGATAATAATGGTAACTATTTTGATTAAATGAATTTGTTAAAATTAAAAAAATAAACGAGTTTGGTTTTCAGTACAAATCGACAATTTCATACTTTAACCCCTATTATAATAATCAGGAATGTTATGGAGCTTCGTAACCATAACCGAAACTATAGGATATCCGAAATAAAAGATTATTCGTATCCGTAACCGGCTTAGGAGACTTACGATAATCAAATATCTGTGGGTATTTTTTCAAGATACATATTAGAGAGATAAGCAGTAAATAAGACAACAATCAAGCTAGCATATTACTGTAGAGGCCTTTAGAACTCTAGTTACAAAAAGCTGTTAAATATAACAACAAAATATTTGATAAATAAATATTTTTTCTTGCTTTTTATTGCAATACCAATAAACTAACAGATTGAAAATTCTATTTGATGTATATCCTTTGTTTTATTTATAATTATGGAGTACAATTAAGTATTCGCTAATTCATGCTTTATTTCTAAAAAGAGTATCAAATACTTTTTAGTACCTAATGGATCTGACGTAATGTAAAAATCTTGTTTATACACCCTAATAGCTGAATTTTTAATAGCTGAATATATCCAGAAATAAAACGTAGTCTACAAGCTTGGTTGGTGTCTTATTTACTACTTTTCTCTTTAATATCTTGAATGATTCTATTTCGGATATCCGATAGTTTCGGTTATGGTTACGGAACTCCCTAACATTCCTGCTCCAAATTTGATTACATACAAATTTTTTTTTTTTATTTTGTGTCATAATAGGTGTTGTTAAAAATAAAACAGGAAGCGTGTTTTGTAGAATGTATGAAGAAGTCTGTTAAAGTTGAGTAACTTTTATCAATATTCAGTGTGAAAATTCCTTAATTTATAAATTTTATTTAAGTATTGACATCATTGAATAATCAATGATTATTTGCGAATATTTTTTTATAACCACTCCATTGAACATATTCTAACTCAACAAATTTGGACTCATAGTTTCGAGTTCAAGGGTTATAATTAAGACGCTAAAAAATCGTGTGCGTTATTAAACTGCACTACCGTTTAATGTCGATATAGAAATGTGAATGTGAGATTTCTCCATTATGGTACAAAGTAAATATAGAAATTATGCCTAATATTGAATTTTGATATTCTTTCTGGAACTGTTCCTAGTAGGTAGAATTTTTAAATTTTCAATAAATTTAGCAAGGCAGCAAGTCATCTAACTTATTTTATGGTTTACTGACATTTTCTAGATAAAGTAATTTAGGACAAAATTTCCGTAGTCTATAATTGGATACTTTCCTGTATAGGTATTTGTATATTACATTTTTTGCACATCATAAATAATGTCAATTCAGTCAAATATATCAGTAAACCTGCATTTCTCTTTGAAACGTAATTTACAGCTATGTTTTATTTATTCGTTTATTTGGTGCTGAATATAAGCCGGTCAAGAGCTTTTGTCTATTTCAGTTATGAGAATCATCATTATACTGGCCATCCGATGGCGATTCATATGAAAATTGAAACTAAAAGTATTTAAGGTTTCATGTAGAACTTTATAGTTATTTTTAACAGAAAAATTTGGTGATCTCCGTTAAAAAGACAGAAGTGAAAAAAAAAAATGAATTGAAATTCAATAACAAAAATATTTTTACTGAATATTTCTAACGATGCCAATTTTGTTTCCTACGGTTGGAAATAATATGTAAATAGTTCTACATAGTTCTAATATGTAAATAGCACTCTTTTCCAATTTCATTTTTAACGAAGTGTAATTCTGAAAATAAACTCTGTAATTTAAAATACAAATTCGTGTTCAATGGTCTCTATCAAAGGATTAAATGGGCAGTGCTCGAAAGAATAACATAAATGTATACATGTGAAAAATAGAAGCAATCTTCATGAAAATGGTATGGGAGTAAAGTAGTTACTAAACATGAGCGTTCATCGGCGCCAATTTCTCGGAGTTGCAAGGAACCCGGTCAAGTGTCAGTATATTACACGCCTCTGTAATTGACTCGCTATAATGAAGTTCTGCGATACCGTCCAGGGCCGGGGTGGAATATTATACTTTTTTTACTATTTCATTTTTCTTGAAAGATTTTTGCGAGCGTAAAAAGTTGGCATTAAAGGAAACTTTTTTTTAAATAGTAAGCCGTTAAATAGTAAGTTTCTATTCAAGTCTAAGCTCAGCTTTGTGTGCTTAAGTTAAAGTAAGGTATGTACAATATGAACATGAGCTACATAAAGAAATTCTTTTTTAAATAAAAATAAAAGAACATTCCCATGTTTGTTATAAAACCAGCTAATTTATGAACTAGAATTTGAACATAGAAGTCACGGGTGACTTCCGGAGCTTTGGTAGTTAGTGTTGCGGACATCTTGCCAACGATAATAAAACTTTATCTCACGTAGTGGTAACAACAGTTTTCTCTATCGCTAATATCTGAACAGTAACAGGATAAGTTTATTAGTTTTTATTTGTCTTGTAATAGAAAATGCTATTAAGCAATATTGTAATTTATTTTTAATAAAGTCTGCAAACAGTCGTTACGTTAATACTCGTAATATGAAGAAAATATTAGAAATTATATACAGTTAAATTTGTGAACCGTAAAAATAGTCCGTAGGATACTTTTTCCCTGGGTATGTCTGGATATAGTTTATGTGTATCTGTGCCTGGGTCAAAAAATAGTAGTTCAAGCTGAAAAATTGAAATAAGTGAAAATTATAATGAATATTATACCCTTTTTTTCATTTAGTGTAACTATTACAAGTATTACTAACAATCAGTGGAGATGATTTTTTATTAGTTAGTGTGTTATCATGCTACAGAAAACATGCCTGGAATGCCGTATTCAGCGAAGGCATAATCACGCGCTGAATACATCTCTGTTTATAAGTATTAATTACAGTAGGAATTAAGTTTTGCTACAGGTGTACCTGTCACCGCTTTTTAGTTCTTAGTAATATTTTGTAAATATTTCGTAGGAATTTCTTCACATTATTGGGGATAAAAGTATACTCTGTCTATTTTCACTTAGTACATTTGCATGTTCAATGTTCCGCCATCTTGTCTAATTCTTTCTTAGGCAATGACACCATTGTTTACTATAATTAGCAATTACAGGTTTTTGTGTTTGTAAGCGTTGCACTAAAAAGTGTTTGTATTAAGTTATTTAATATTTGAAAATTGGGGTACTTAAAAATATAATAACGACCTTAATGAAAATTTATGTTAACTATTCGCACTAAGAGTAAGACAACTTATAACGTATGGTAATAACCAAATGATTCGTTGAAAAAGTAAATAAATTACAAATAACTATATTTTGTGGCGCATTATCACTAACAGCGACCTTACAAAGTTATTGTAGGGTTTTTAGATGAGTATTTTCGCACTTTGACTGTAGATAATGGTCATTGTTGAAGCTATTTCTGTTTAATTGGCTGTTAGAGTGTCCAATTCTGTATGAGATTCTGGGAAAATATAAAACAACAAAATTGACAGAGGAGACGAAAACAAGATGGCGCATGCTTGAAGACTCGGACATTGCATCTTGTATCCGATAAGATATTGAGAGGTGGGGTTGGCGCATCTATGTTTTAAATAGCTTAATTATAATTTTTTCTAGTCGGATTCTTACCCTCTTTGGACTCGTTATCTAATACTAGACGATTTCTAGCAACTTCGCTCGCGTATGATGTAGCGTATGTGAAAATGACATCCAGTCTCGGATGTTGGGGAATATTTTGTACAATATAGGACAACTGCTGGTCTAAATACTATCCTTTCGATTTCTTTAAGTAGTCTTTTATAAAGAATGGGAAGTACTTACCGTCAGGCAAATCTATATCTTTCGCACAATTCGAAGGAAATATAAAGCATTGAATTTTTATCCACAGTTGTTCAAGGATAAACGTAGGAAGAATGCTGTTAACATGAAAACACTTCACAGAACAGCCACTTCGCATAAATGTGTTGGTCACTTGTGATACCTTTATAACAAATTGAATTCAATTTTTAATGTTTGTCCACTTCTTAAAGCCCACTGTAAAGAAAGTATACAGTTTTCTCAGATTATTAGATTAGCAATCCGCTGAAACTCTTCTTACATATACCCCATAAATATCAAAAATACAATTATCATATCGATAGGTGATATATAGCTGCTCGTAAATGAAATACCCGGATGTATCACTACAAGTAAATCTTTAAAAGTACCCAACGGATTTTAATGCGGTTTTTTTTCATAGAAATGGTGATTCAAAAGGAATGACGACCGAAGCCGCTAGCGGAAAGCTAGCTAGTAAAATAGAAATACACACATGCATGTGTGTGTGTGTGACACACCAAATTTTAAATCTGTATTGAAAGTCTTTTTATAATACCTTTTTAAATAAGGTTTTTATTTTATACTAGCTTTGCGCCGTTCGTCCTAAATTTAGGTTGTTAGTGCTCACTAATAAAGGATTTTTAGCAATTCATCATGAAAGGAACCCCTGTTCTAAGTTTCTAGGTACAATAGTTTCAGCTGTGCGTTAATATATTAATCAGTCAGGTTTGCCTTTTATACAAAAAGGTATCTGCCGTAGAGACTCGTCTAACGGATTTTTTTAAAATAATCACAATAAATGAACACCTTTAACTTACACTACCCAAAATTTATATCACTTGACCTTTAGTTAAAACAGACAATCCATCTGAAATAGCACTGCGATAAACACCGAGCAACTGTAAATCGTTTTGCAGTTCCGCTCTCGCCCCCGCTACCGCTCCGTTTGGCTTGTTCATAGCTAGAAGCTGTTAATTTCCGCTGGCTTGTATCGCATAGCGTAGTGGCGGTGGCATTATTGCGCCTTCCCAGCAGTTTGTGACCTGTTACATAACATTCGTTAGGATGTGACACAGTAACAAGGTTAGCAACTGCGAAGATTTTTCTGGCATTTTGCTTATTTGGTAAATATTTTTGTCTGAATTAATTTTTTTTTTTCTTTGATTTACTTAAAATTTTACACTTTTATTTATTGACCGTAGCTGAGTCGGTCGCACACCGATTTCGCTCTTTAACGCCCCGGTTTCGATTCTCGGTCGGTCAATGTAGAAAATTGACTTTTCAATATTGTCTGGACGTTGTTGTACCCTCGTTATCTCAGATACTCCATAATAAGGGGGCACTAGCTAATCATCTTAGAATCTGAGCAATGTATGTGATTTTGTCTAGTATGCATTTTAGTTATTAATTTAATACTTTTAGCGACAATGTTAATTTAATATAGTTAAAAATTTTACAAATATCCTTGGCAAAATTTGTCAACTGGTTATATTTAGAGGTAATCATTGTGAATAATTGAACGCTGATTATACTATTATTACTATTTTTGTTAAAGAAATGCGTTCAACACTATCCCTATCCCCTAGCGAGCCACAGAGATAATGGCGGTTTCTTATCCTTTTTTTAGTGGATGTATAAAGTTACCAACTAAAACTTATGTGTACCCTCGCCTTTGAGACGGGATCCAGCATGAATGATTAAATATGTGCCTTATATGTAAGAGTAGCCGACGTGTGTCTTATATATGTGCCTTATATGTAAGAGTAGCCTTAGCACTAAGACCACTACCTTATTCGACGTTCATAGGCCGCACTGGTTGGATATTGAGGAAATGACACCGATGTTTCGAATCACATGTAATTCAACGTAGGTATGTCAACAAAATAGCGACGATACAAATTGCTCTGCCGCAGTAATAAACTTCTTGTTGTATTTGAGAAAAATTAATTTAGAGTACTTTTAGTATAGCTACTTAATAAGAAAGTTAACAACTAAAGTTACCAGTAGTACATCACATAGCAAGTATATCACATACATTGCCTAGATCTCTAGTAACACTTGTGTTATGGAAATCTTAATGACGAAGGACACTTAAACCCTAAACAATATGGAAAGTTCATTACTATATTGATCCGACTGGGAATAAACCTCAAAGATGAGAACAATTTCAATAATTTAAAAAAACGTTTTCAGACGTTAACCCTGGTAGGGCGCAGCAAGTTACATTGCTATGTTAAATAATTAACGTGTGAACTCAGTTCCAGACGTTGTACACACAGTTACACTCACAGTTCTAATATAATTCACTAAATAGAAGTTAACTACATCTAAAGTACTTTCGAAGAACTTTTTCGTCATTTTATATCTATCATTTTAGGCGGATATTTATAAATACTGGAGAGATAAAAATCATAATCATTATTGGATTTCAATTCTTAAAATGTTTGAATATTTTTCTATATATATAACAATACAAAAACGAAACAAATAAGTAACTTTTGTTTTATTCATAGTTGAGAAGTCGCCATTGATTGGTTAAGGAATCAATCGTACAAAATTTAGTTTATAATTAACGATAAAGAAGAATTGTGTAGATATTTAGCACGATATTAACGAATATATTAACTTGTGTAACCAAAGACTTTCATTTATCTAATAAGAGTGTCGACGTTCCAAAGTAATCTTATAAAAACGAGACTAACACTTGTACTATAATCGAGTAGTGGTAAGTAAACCAATTTAGAAAATATTTTTAATAAATAGACAAGATTTTGAATGAAGGAACAAACTCTCAAAACATAAGACACCATTATTATTATTAGCTATTGATCGTTCTTACTTCATTCAAATTGCAGTTTGTTAGTTAAAAACATTTCCATACTTTTATTGTGTTATTACTTTTAATCAAGAAATTACCTCAAATAAATTTTATTTCAACACAAGAGTATGTAACGACGAAATTAAAACATTTAAATATTATCATTTATTTTTAAAGGCAAGGGTTATTTCAAAGTTGATACATAATATAATCATGATTTAAGTATCTTATTTTAAGTAACAGTTATTTTTTTTTCAATGCAAAATAGCAAAGGGAGGATTTAATGCCGTACGGCATTTTTGCCAGTTGACCAGGAAACAATCAAATAAACCTTAGGATGGAGCAACAAAGAGATTATAAGAAGAATAAGAAAAAAGTGGCTATATGCATGCGAAGTCGCGGGAGGAACAGCTAGTAAAATAGACAATAATATTAATAATAATACTAGGTGAAGGTATTATTATAAACTTATACAGGAAAGAATAATATTCCAAAACTTAACAGGATACGATGACATTGATTTTAGTTTTGTTATGATTTTAATTAATTTAATAACAATATATTTCTCTTTAGTCTCTCTCTTGAATTTAAATAATTATAACTTAATTTACCTTACGGATGGAGCTTCAATGAAATAATTTATCTTCGTGGATCGACAAAAGACTTTTCTATTAGAGTTATGCTAAAAAGTTTCTAATTTTGAAGTAACAAGAAAGTTTGTAAAGTAATTTAGCAACCAGTAATTGATTGGTTAGAGAAATATCTCAATTTGGCTATTCAGACGTTAAGCGTCCAATGACTTCTTAAGACTTTAGTTAATCGTTTTATATAAAACAGACTTTTTGATTTATGAAATCAATATCTACTCGTAATACATATTGGATTGAGAATTTCTTTTAAATAATCTATACTTATATTGTAATCAGGAAAGATTTCATGTTTTTTTTTTATTGTAAGGAAACTCCCTCTATTGTCTCTAGAAATAGACACTTTAAAAAAATTCTTTAAAGGGAACATACATCATACGAAGTTAATTATGGCTATAATTTAGGCGGCTATAATTTAGCTAGTGTAAAATAAAGTAAAACGGCTTATAAAAGACAACGAAAATACGTGATGCCCGTTTTCACTAATTATAGGAGTCATCCAAATCTGTCGGAGAAATATTTAGGAATCGCCTAAGGTAAAAATGCATTTCACCATTGACAAGGAACCACCTAACGGAATTAAGCAAATTCTAAAGTTATGATATTCTTTATTAGGTGCCTTGTGCCAGGCATTTGCGTATGTATAATGTTATATATATACTAATCTGCTTAGGCGATTCCTAATATTAGGCGTTTCCTAGTTAAGCTATGCCTAGTTGTTCTAGGTTAGTGAAAATGGGTGTTACTGTTTATCTCATTGCACCTTTCAATGAGACGAGTAAAGCTACGTTAATAATTAATTACTCATAGCTTCCCACCAGCGGCTTCGCCCACGTGGTCCTGTGTTAAAACCTTTCTTAATACAAAATGCTTAAAAAATCCACTTGGTCACTGAGATGGGAATCGAACCCACGACCTTTCGCAATCCGGGCGACTACTCTAACCACTGAGCTACTCAGGACTTAACAGGACTGACGAATCTTTCAAGCACTTGTTACTTTTCGCTACTACAGAGCGTATTCTCATCAATGTTCAGGCATCCACCCAAACAGCCGAAAGAAATATTGTTACAAATATTGAAACTTTCGATAAAGATGAGAATTTTGTTCTAATTATTATACTTTGATTAATTTCGCATTCACAATGCCATACTGAAAATAATTCTTAGTACAAAAAGCTTAAAAAATCCACTTGGTCACATACTATTGTATAATACCTTATTAACTAAATATATTAAATATATATCATAAACTTACCGATGTGCCCACTGCCAAAGCTTTTTCACTATGGAAAAAATAACATAATAAGAACGACAACCCACCCCAAGGCTGGTCCAGTGTGAACTACTGAATAGTATATATTACTCAAAAATAGATTTTAACTATAATAATACAGTCATAATGAAATCTGATACTACCGCTATAAAAAATTCTAAGCCATAAAAAACTTAGAAACACTATATCTCAGACGTAACTCAAGAAGGTGTTCCGAAGATAAGATTTCAAATCGTTCGTTCCTCTTTTTCACACGCGGCAATAAATTGTAAGGAATAGCTGTAATATATCGTGCGGTTTGCTTACTACGTGCGGTAGCTTATAAAAAAGTGTGTAAAGTAAATTCACCCTTATGGTAGCTACGCAAAAATAATGGCTTGAGCGACGGTATAAAACTCCGCGTTACTTGCGCGCGGTTAACTCAGGTTAGCGTTTGAGATATGAAACAGTTCGATTTTTGTTTTACAATCTACATTTGAATGTTTTGCGTATTTAATATATCTTCAGCGGTTCGCAAACGAAACAATCTTTAACATAAATAAGCTTTAGAGATCCGAAAATAAATGACTTGTTTTTCATTCCATAAGACTATTATTATTTCCACTGTGATCCACGCCTATATTTTTCTTTAACAAATAGATGATTGTTAACTACCCTTATAAAATACTATCACGAAAGTGCAAGTTCATCTGTCGATGGAGGCTAGATAGATAGATAGATATCCAAATGCATTGAAAACTATTAAAGTAATTCTGAAAACAAAATTCACGAACTTTCTAGCTATCGATATTTTGAGCTACCGTTACTTAGTTCAATTTTATGTTAACGTCTGATTTAATTGTGCTTATATCAAGTTACTTAAGCAAACTTAAAGCTCGTCAAGACTTGTTAGATTTTCATTGAATATTGCGTGGGAATAGGAACCGAAACGGTAACAACAGGGTCAGAGATCAAAGGTGGTTATTAATCTTACGGCCGAAAAGGTTTGTTAGTCAAGATAAACACGGACAGCTCGAAAATTTGTCAGGCCGTGTGCGAGACATTTTTCATTTCACTCGGCCTGCTAACGAATATAATACTTTGTTTAAAGGAAAGTTACATTTCTGTTGAAAATATCGTTAAATATAATGTTTTATTAAAGCCCTATAATAATTGTTGCAATTATGTTCACTTTAACGTTTATGTAAAAATACAAATACTATTACATACTTTAAAAAATC